GACATTGCAGTGGAATGAGAGGTGAGAACCATATAGGTAACTGGTTGTACATTTATAGTAGAAAGGAGCTACCCACGCCACTGCTAAATCAAATATTATTACCTAGTACTGGCGGCCTTAATTCCTCTTACACTGGATAATCATGGCTCTAGATAATTACATTAAAAATCACATTTGAAAAATCAGGGTATTAAGTTGTTAGGGCTAAATCAACATTCTGTGTATTTAATTGCTTTTATATTTTTGTATATATTTACATCATTGTATATGTCACATATCAGTTAATCATCAATCTGCATTCTTTATATGGAATAAAGAGTCGTAATTCAGAAAATAAGCTTTTGTTCAATTAGTGTGGAAGGCCGCATTGGTGAGATCAATAAATGGTGGCAAGCCATTAATTTAATAGCGATTTATGGGACCCATAGAACTTGAATTTGTTTGTGCACTACATTACATTAACGTGTTTTGAAAACTGTGTAATTCTCAGTTTGATGATGGATCGTCAGTTGGAACAGTAATTTCACAACATAACTATTGATATTGGAGCTGGGTCTATTGCTAAGCAGACGACTATGCTAAGTTTTACGTTATCAAGCCAGAGCCGTGGTGAACATCGCAAGAAACCTACAGAGAAGAAAAAGCAATAAGCATTGGAGACTAGACAGAGCCAACGAAGTAGACTGAGTTGAGAAATGGTATGAAACGATTCTTGAGATAGTTGAATGATTTAACTACTGTAACAGAATGGATGGACACATATAAATCGTTTATAAGTATACACAACGACCTGCTGTCAGATGAAGCTCAGTAGGAAGACTTGGTATGACGGATGATATGAACATTTTCAAGATTCTTGTAATGAGTTTGAAGCCACAATACGTCATTGGATTCAAGAAGCTGAATCACAGTTGAGACAATCTATTAGGATGAATGAGAAAGTGAAACCTGAGGACAGCGTTTCAAAACTACTACTTCCATATCAAAGAGATCCGAAGAGCCAGCTCTCTCCTCGTGCCTAGAATTAAAAAAGATCAAAGGGAAGTTGTTAGCTTGAGCTGATGCATTGAAGAAAAAACAAGCTCAACTCAGCCTGAAGATGCAAGAAGAATTGGAGCTGAAAACAGAATTAAGGATATTAGATGCTAGGAGAGATATACTTGATCAAGGAGTGAACTATGAAAAAGAACTTGCACAGACTGAGCTTATTTAGTCCTAAGATAGGGATACAGAGATTAGGGTTAGATAAGAATCTGTTGGATGTGAATCATGATGCAGGTGAGTCCATTTTAAATAGTCAAAATGTGCATGAGGATGATGATGTGAGTGTTGGTCTTGCACATGGTGTGCAGGGCAGGCGCTGTGTGGGAGAGCACGATAGTGACAGCAATGCTGGTTCTGGATCCTCTATTGCCGGTCAAATATCCTCAAGTGAAGTCATCTTGGTCATGATGAAACAAATTAAAAAATCTTGTCAGATATCAAGAAGTTTGCTGGTAAACCTATAGAGTACAAACAGTGTATTCGTCAGTTCAGGACCAGAACTTTAATAAATACTGAGAATGAAGATGAAAGAATGGACTACTTGCAGCATTATACTATTGGTGAAGCTAACAGAATTGTTACTGTTTATAGCCACCGTGGGGGGCAGAGAATGGGGATCATGCTGACATGAAAGATCTTCAAAATCGATATGGTGTTATTGAATGTATTTCTCATGCCTATGTTAGGAAAGCTCTTGATCAGACAGCCCATAGGTTCTAGATGAGTTTACCATCTTTCTGGTTGAATGCGAGAATGCAGTACAGAGTATAGAAGCCCTGATAATACTTGAGTTTCCAGAAAACTTCTAGTCAAGAAGCTACAGTTATGGACAAACTGGTGTAATAGTTCTTCAATTGGATGAAACTCAAACAGTTTTGGATGGGTACTGGTAGCCAAATACGACCTTGACAATTGAATTGCTGGATGGAAGAAGATCTAAGTAAGTCTTATGGAAATGGGAGTTGACTCAAGTCAGCAAAGTCAACTAGTTGACCAAAGAATGAAAGGTATGAAGATAGCTGCTATGAAACGGACCAAGGGCAGTTTCGGACAGCAGGCTCTATGTGTGGAAACATTAAAAAAAGCAGAAAAGGCGGTCCTAGGATATGTTCAGCAACAACACTTTCCTGATGACATAGCAGCTCTGCAAGATTGTAAAAACACTGTGAACAAGAATTGGGTTTAGAGATCGAGCCCATTATACAATTTAGATCCATTTTGGCAGAATGGACTACTTGATCGTTCAGATGAAGGATTCTGTTGTCTTGCCAAAGGATTCTCACATTTCAAGACTAATTCTGGAAGATATCCACAGAACAAATAATCTCCGTTGGTTGGTGCATTGACCCCCAAAACACACGTGGTTCCGATCGACCAATGAGATGACGCCGTTGCAATGCGCGGGTTTTCATATTACTTAATACACGTTTTTATATTCTCTCTTGTACTCCTCTGTAATGGTTTCCTACTCCATAATCTCAACTCGATACATGCTTACTTACAATATACCTGATTAAATATTTGCTCTGTTAGTAACACAAGTGTTCACATAAATGTATATGTGGTTATAATAAAACCGTTCTTAAATTTGAACCAAAACTTCGAACTCAAAAATTAACTACGAAGCAAACAAGTTGGAAACAATCACATATATATACATATACATGGTAACTATCATGGGAACTGAACAAAAATTACTTACCAGAACCAGATGAGACCACAGCGATGCTACCATTAGACTTTGACAGCATGGGTAGTGCTTTAGTTGCTAGATTCACATAGGAAACAAAGTTGATATTCATTAGTGCCTGAAGTCTTTCGATATCGCCATCCCATAATTCCCAGTAGTAGAGGGCGTGATTTAAAACTAGATAATCTAATCCACCGAGTGTCTTCTCAGCTTCAGTTATCAATTTACCAGTCTCGTTAATGACTTGCATGTCCAGAGAAATGTAATGTGCGGATTGGGCACCCAAGTCTAAACATTTCTTTACTACCTAAATTGAAAATAAATTATTAGTCAGAATATATAAGTCTCAGAATATATAGTCTTTTTATACTGACTTGCATATACAGAACACCAACATTTTTACTTTAAATGGTAGGGGTGTTCTAATACATATTAAAAGGTCAAGAAAAGGAAATATTTTTGTCCATTGCGTATATCTCTTAAAAAGTCTTATTTTCCAAAAATACGAAAGGCAATGGACATACTAATCATAACTCTTGCCTGTTTGAGTAGATTCTCTCTCCGAGCGGTGATTAATATATTAGCTCCCAGTTTTGCATATTGGTAGGCGACTTGTTCACCAATACCGGTACTTGCACCGGTCACAACCACTCGCTTCCCACGTATGCTTTCTGTAATAAAATCATTCTTCTAAAAATTAACATGTCACTCCACCATTTTCAACCACTTGTACTACCAATTCACTACTACCAATTGAACAGAATACTAGAAATATGGGTAGAAGAAACTGGCACACTAATTAGTGTCACATCTACTTTTTCCTAAATTATACATAATATATTACTATCTGCAAACTTTTCCCGCTTTCTCTTCTTACAATCCCCAGGTGTTCAGTTCAAATGCACAATCCTGTGTTGTAAACTGTATTAACCACACGACTACATGACTGTAGACTATCTACTTTCACCTCAGAATTTAACATGATCATTAAAGCGGGAGTCGTCACCTGCGCATGGGACAGATGGCCATAGCGTGTCATTGTTTACAAACAAGCGTCTACCCATGAGCCTTTTCGTTTTAGCGTGTGTTGTTATTGTCGCTTGGGACTCAATTCTTGCGCGTGCGCAGGTGACGACCTTTCCGCTTTAAGATAAATTTTGAGTAATAACTGTCCAAAAAATCAATTTAAATATGAAAACTGGGCTAGAAGCTAGAGGATTTCGAGGGAGAACAGTGTTGTGGCGGGAAAGCCAAAACAAATTACTCTATATTGTACAAAAAAGGAAAGTTTCAAGTCACACTGTAGACTATAGTATATTGCATACCGTAATAGTTGAATTGAAATTTTATTTCACCAGTAACATAAGGAAATTAAATAAATACTAATGTACAGAAATGCATATATAAATAAAATATTGCTTTGTAGGAATGCAACTGGTGAGGGACACGGAAATAGTTCGGTATTGAACTAGTCTAGTTCATGTCACCGTCTAGCTTTATACAGAGAAAGTGTCTGCATGACTGAAAAATATAATGATAAAATTAAATAAGTGAATTAATGTAAAGTAAAATAACAAACTGTTGATGAAATATTCTATCAATTATTTGATCAATTAGTAAATAACTGGATAACTGAATGAATAGATAAATAACTAAATTGGTGAATGAATGTACTTTTAAACATGTGTCTATGTGTGATATTTATAATGTGAGTGGGAAGTGCATTCCAGTGTTTTGTAACTGCGTATTTGATATTATGTTTACTTTGAGTTAAATGCACTTGTGGAATGTAAAAATTGTTTTCAAGGGAGAGTCGGGTTGGGTAGTTGTGTGGAAGGGGATCAAAGTAATGATTCACAGCATGTGCGAAACGATTTTTAAGAAGGTCAAAGGTGAACAGGCAAGTATTGAATTTAGAGAGTTTGTGAATGTCGAAAATACCAATTCGTTTAAACAAAGGGGCATTATGGGCGCGGTATTTTGAAAAAGTTATAAGACGGACAATTCTCTTTTGTAGCAAAAGTAATTGCTCCAGGAAGGTAGTATACGTGTCCCCCCAAATTTCAATACAATAGAGAAGGTGTGGTAGAATTAAAGATTTGTACAATAAAATAAAATAAGAGTTGATTTAGGTAAATAATGTCTGAGCCGAGATATAATTCCACCTTAGGGGCAATAGATTTTACAACTTTTCGAATGTGAGACTTCCAATTGAAATGCTGATCAATGAATACTCCAAGGTAAATGTTCTATTTGGTCATCGTCAATACCCAATCTGTCCTCTACGTTCACTATTTTTTGGGATGTTTTAATAATAATTAATAGTTTTAATAATCATGTAATTGGTCTTTTCAGCACTGTTAGCACGATACCATTCACAAACATGCTCAGAGTATATATACGAAAAATTAATAATATTTTCTTTAATAAATTTGAATAAATTGGTGTCATCAGCAAACAGTCGAAATTGAAAGAAGTTGGTAGAATTTGCAATGTCATTAATGTAGACTAGAAATAGAACGGGCCTAGAATCGATTTCTATGCGACACCACGTTGTATTTTCATGTATTGCGATGTAATGTTGTTAATGCAAACTGACTCTTGGCGGTTGGATATGTGGTTTTGAAACCAGTTTAATGGGAGGCATCTGATACCATAATGTTTTAACTTATTCAATAAGATATCATGATTAATGGTATCAAAGGCCTTTTTGAGGTCAATGAATACCCCAAAAGTAAGAAACTCATTATCGAGCTGCTAGTTTAGTGCTACAATTGTTCCGAAATCCAAATTGTGTATCTAAAAGTATATGTTTTGTTTCTATGTAATTTATAAATTGCTTGTTAACAATTGATTCGAGAATTTTACTGACAATAGGGAGAATTGAAAATGGTCTGTAGTTGCTGGGTTCAGTGGTGGGGCCCCCTTTTTATAAATTGGGATTATTTTGGCTATTTTAAGTGCATCTGGAAATATTCCTTGGCTCAGTGAACAATTGATTAATGTGGGTTAACGGGCGATAGGTAACATTTGCTGCTTGTATAACTAATTCGAGATTTGATTTTGTCAACACCAACAGATTTACGCGGGTCTAAACGTTTAATTTCATTCGACACATCTTGCTCACAGACTGGGTGGAAAATAGAAGAATTAGGGTAATTACCATCTAGGTACCGTGCATAATTGCTGCCATATGTTATATTCGAGGCAAAATTGGAGCCAATGTTAGTGAAGAACTTGTTAAATTCTTCCGCAATATCAGAATTATTTGTTAAAGGGGGTTTGTTAGAATTACTTGAATGTAAGATACGGGGTATTAATTTGCTTGGTGTTTTGTTAAGTAGATCATTGATCACTTGCCATGTTTTGTTTGTGTTACCTTGGGCCAATCGTACTGTATTTGAATAATGACGTTTCTTTGCTGACTTCATAAGTTTTAACAGAATATTTCTATAAATAGTTACATTTTTATAAACGCTACAAATGCATGCGCATGCGTAACGCAATATCACATATTAACCTGCAATGAAACAAATTAACAATCAAAACAAATATAACAATTTACCAGTTTTGTATTTTAAACTATGGCAATAATATTTGGGACATTTTAATTAGACAGCAAGATGTGTAGTTTTGAGGATATAAATATTTTTCAAAATAAATATGAAATATTTTGTATTTAATAACTCGAAATTATATACAGTTTGCCACGACTGAAATGATAAATGAAATTATTCTTGGCAAATTTGGTAAGAGATCAGCTCACTTCTGTAAAGATAGTCAAAATTATTAAGTGTGCATAAGCAATTTTAACGTTCAAACTGAAACCTTAATTTTCAACTTTTTTTATGTTTGTGCTTTGCGATGATATTTAAACATTGCTTAAAATAATTAGTAGTTAGGTATAGAGGGTATACAATACTACTTTCATCGGGTTATATTACAGGGTGTGTATTATACACCAACTAGTATAATATGTGACATAAATCACATGACCTTGACCTGATCTGACATGCAACTGACGCATAACATAGTCCCGGGTGATTCTTCCTAACAAAACGGGAATGGGTTGGGGTGTGTGGCCCAATTTTTTTTGACCCCACCCACTATCAGACCACTGTTTTAGTAATTACATACCACTTCTCGGACAACATGTTATTCAGATTTCAGTACTGTAAAAACACATGCGCAGTGCCACACGATGTCGTATATGATAGGACAGGTCAGAGTTCAAAATACGTACTGTCTGTCTATCTGAGCACTATCTGTCGGGGAAACACCAGGCCGTCAGAGACAACTTGCGAATAACACTTTTCGGGCGTTATTCCCAAGAATTTTTGGAGATTTCTCAAACATATTACATTTGATAAAATCCAACCCACTTCTGGTGTGAATAAGATACCCCAGTCGAACCACACATATACCCGTATAGCTTTTCTGTGGGAGAACTCCCCTCCTCCTTCCCTCCGGCCATAGTCACGAAGGACCGATCGTTGGTACAATCACGTTGTACATTGTACTTAACAAATGCACAGGGAATAATGTCGCGTCAACTTAATAGTGTTATCTCACCTGGATCAAAGGTGTCTCTCGATGTGTATGCAATGTACATTGCAATGAACACAATAAGCAGCCCTACTATCTTCCAAAACTTTGCCATGTTTATATATTTTTGTGGTGAGTAGGTCTGACTGCGGTGTCATACGCTCTGTGACATCTCATCACTGATACATCCCATATGCAGATTAGTCGTTTTAGCACAGGATTTCGACGAGGGCGCACTTTTAAAACTAGTTTTCATTAGCCCCCACCTGGACAAAGTCCTGGAAAGAGCTTCTAGTTTCGTCTTCGTCAGTCCGTCAGTCAACCATACATGTGCACGTCAATTTATTTTCCGATTCGATCAAATATGACCGACTGGTGGCTATTTTAATGCCAAAATTCAGTCAAATTCGGTCCTTGTGTGTCCATCGTCATTTCTCGGAAATGGTTTGACCGATTTTGTTGAGACTTGTTACAAAGACATAGGGACAACTGGTACAGATGCACATTGATTTATATTTTTCAAGGAATCAATTAATGAGCTCATTTTTATATTTAATTATTAATTTGAATTCTTGTTAATATCTTATGAACTAAACGTTCAAATCTGACAATTGGGGGGCTGTGTCATCTTCATATGACTTGTTTAATTAAAAAAAACACCTATACAGAACGTCATTTCTTACACGCAAATGATCAAATGTAGACCAACACGTTTTAGATGTCCTAGGTTCGATGGCAGTAATAGGGGAGGAATTGTACCAGCAGTAGTGGCCAGAAGACCCCCAACTGCTGACGACAGTGACTTCAATTCATGCATGTGGCCGGGATGAAAATTATAGAAAGTACGTGTGTTTAGTCATAAGTCATTATGTTGGTGGCCTGCAGTACTTAAAAAATAAGACGTTGTTGTTCTGAGTGTAAATGTCAGTGGTCGACAATTCATGCAACCATTATATTTCGCTTGACAATTCAGTTTTTTTCACCTTTGTAGCATTCCCATTTTATGTTGCTTTTTAATTCAATTAGGTGTCAAGTTGGTTTTGATTCTCAGTGTTTTCTTTTTTCTTAATGTGCTAGGTTAACGCTCTGATAGTATTATGATATAATGACATGGGATACTTATAAAATAATATACAATATACTGTCAAAACACACATAATGTGTCAGGCGCCTGCTTCGGAGTGTGCATTTCTGCTGCGATCGCGTCAAAAAATAATCAACATTTCACAAGTTTTCTTGGAACAAAATATAGCACACCGAATCCATTCGTCTCCGAAAATAAAAAATATCCTCGCCATTAAAGATGCAAGTGAGTGATATTTTACTCAAACATCAAAAAAACTACAGACACAACAACACAGATCCATTAATTGTACATTAATCTACTGCGACTTCGAAAATGTCAAAAGACAAAAGAAATACAACATCAGTAAATGATTTCTACGTTTGAATTACCCGCCACTTGACAAATATTTATTAATTATTCTAATAGTGTTACTGACATAATATCTTACATGTGTGGGTGTTTGTTTCAAAGGCTAAAGGTCCTCTAAAAGCGGGACAGGGATAATATGCAAATTTATAGTGAAATGTAAGATGCTTGCATCTGCTCAACCCCTAAAATCATACACAACTGTATTCAAATTGAACCAAAACAACTACGATACTAATTAACTACTTTGGCTAGAGTTACTGTGGACAGAAACAAAAACTTGTCGCCACGCCTTTGCCGAGGTTGCAAGAAACAGTCTGGAAGTTTTAAGAAAATGATGCAAACGTGAATAAAGGGCCGGTATTTTGACACATTCGTCAACGAATATTTATTCAATATGAACCAATATATGTATTCAAACGACCTTCCACTAAACGGCGAAGCCTTGAGGTAGGATTTGAACTTGGTTTTATAATAATTCAGTGTAACAATTGTCTATATCTCCATAATAAACATAAGGTTATTGGCATAATCCAGTAAATAACACTGTCTTGAGATGGTTTACAAGACCTGTTAGGAACTCATGAAAAAGCATACTTAAAGCCAATGCACATTTCCTAACATTCATAACATGCATCAATATGCCCAGATCACTAGATAAGCATAATAATATACACAAAAACAAGCAATATTTTCAGATTTATACCTTTAATTACACAATTTGAACTTTTTCTATTGTTTTAAGATGGAAGCCCTCTTGGTCTTGTTGGAAAAATAACAGATACATCAATTACCTTAAAGAAGGGTTTTGTGACATTTTCGAATAAAACATTCTCTGTCTGTTGTCTCGTTCAGAACAGTAATTTAGCTTATATATTTCAAAAGACTAAGTATAGAGGTACAAGTTCGCACAAACTGGACAGTTATTGTTTACATAAATATCACGTGACATCAGAAATGGCGAACCTTGTAAAAATGATTGCGAGAGCACACTGCGGAATTTCCTGGTGAAATTTAACGTTATGCATTGTCCGTAATCAAGTCCATTGAAATGTGTCCGGCCCGGTAATCAAAAGACCTATTATTCCGATTTCTGTGCAGGTTTGTTTTTTTGTCCTCAAATTGTTTCATACTTGGCACCTTTAACAGACTATTATTCTGTGACAAAGCATTTTCTTTAAAACCCAAACATATTTCGCACCATCATTATCTTTTGAACGATAACTGCGAGATTGAATGTCCTAGTCCGAACGCGCTTGATTTGGCGGCGGTCCCAATGAGTCGTACTCAATCAAAACTTCAACTCGAGAAAAACGCGAAAAACAGTTTAGGTTAATAAAACACTGTAGATTTGCTGCATTATTATAAATATACACCAAAAATGGCCAAACATATTAACCACTGATATCATAGAACTCATAACGAGTGTCAGATCATGAATAATTTCAAGCTCGAGCGTGAAAAATGAAGAAAACTGCTGGCATTTGAGTCCGTACTGCAGGATCGTTCGGGTTTCCATTGTTATGCAAACGAAAAACAAGGAATAATCCTCTGACAAACATTACTGTCCCACTGTACACGCTGACAGTTTACAAACAAGCTAATCCTTCAAGTGTCTCTGATAAGAGATCTAATAAAACGGTTTTCTTGGTGAAACAAAATGGCCGATGTTTGAAAAAAAAATTGCTGTTTCAGACACTGAGTGGCAGATTTTTTTTGCCTCATCTTTCTTTCTTTTCTTCGCCATTGCGTTAGACAAAATAGTATTAGTAAAATTGATTTGGAAAATAAAACGATTTAAAAGAAAGTTGCGCAAAGTTACAGTACCTATTTCGCACAACCTCCCGCCCGCTTCCGATTTCCAAACACCTTTTTCTCTCGCTTTTGCGACTGCTTGTTGAATTCGACCAGACAATTTCCGCGTAAACCCCGAAATATCACCGCCCACCTGCTCGCTCGCGCGCATTTAAAATTCGGACTAATAGAAAAATGTCCGAGGTTCACATTGTCTTCCTGGTTTTTATGAATGTTGAACAGCTGACAACAGTTCAAATACTTTTTGTTTTAACTATCTATAATTATATGCACGCAATCTGACCCTTTGACCTCGATTTGGCTTGGACTGAATATTTGTAATATTCTGACATGAAATACAAAATGTATTTCAACACAAGTACGACATGGTTGTCTGGGTTTTCTTTCCTGATTGTTGGGTCTTCGCAATGTGTTTTGTATAATTATTGTTGTTTTCCCCCGAGGCGAAGACAAGCTGAAGGACCATGAAGCTAAATGGCAGTTCCAGGGGGGGATTGGCACGAGAGGGCGCCATCTGATCTGAATGGAACGTTTCGACGTCAGTCGTCCGTAGCCCATCGTCAAGCAACAACGTCCCGTTTACGAACAGATAAAATAATTTCAGCCATTCCTTTACAGAATAATCCTCAACAAAACTTAGAAACATTTCATAGACAAATACAGGCTCCAAAATTATGTCTATTTCAAAACAATTCAACCAACAACCAGTTTGACGCCACAATTTCTTGCTGGAGCCCGAGTTCTACGCGTGATTTTATTGCGTTCAAATCTGTTCCATTTCAAACTGCGCATGCACACACACTGTGGTTCATTGAAATGCATACTAATTAGGTAACTTGTCACTGATAAAAGTCACCGAAAACATTTTGAGCAATTTGAGCAATAGTACTAGAGTGAAATATAAACGTGCCTCTGCATTCTCCATGAATTTCATAACTTGCTATGATCATGGTAAAGAGAAAACCTGTGTTTACTTTCAATAGTTAGCTGGAGTCTGATTGAAAATGTGTCTCAAAAATTACCTTTACATCATTTTTCCGATTATTTTTTCAGCTCGTAACGATAGAATCAATCAATTTAGAACTAACATGTATGCTGTCGGAAAGCATTTTGGCACAATTTTACTGAAAAGACGAGTTTTTCATTGCTCATGAATATTAATTTATGCAAATGAGACGAGTATTTCAACCAATCGTGTCATGCAACTCCCCCCCTGGGCAGTTCCATGCATGGGCTGAGTGAAAGGAAATATTTTTAAGTCTAAACCTTTGTTTATTTGTTAATTTTACATGTGCTTTTCATGACAGTATGTCTTAAATATCTAGAAAAATCTCGCAATTCATGGGGATCATGTTCGTAATTTGTGGGCTGAAACCCCAAATAATTAAACAAGTATTATTATTATAATATATATTTTATTTTACATCGCAAACCTACAACAGAGCTAGAGTTGTTCGCGGTGAAGACGATGCAATTTCATCTAGCCATTTCTTACCTTGAAATAAAAAAAAAAAAATTCGAAGAGCATCGGGGAAAATATTAAAAATCATTCTTATCAAGCGCTTGCTTTATTTTATTCGAATCCATGAAATTCACGAGTTTTTTTTTTTTTTTTCATTTGTTGGCAACTTCCGCGCTAAAAAAGATTGAAAATGTGAGCGTGGTTCTTTTGCGAGTTCCTGTTTATAATACGGACAAATATGTTTCTGTGACCCAGGTCGTGCATCGATTATGTGAGTTTCAGCCAATCAGTGATATTGTAACAAAGCATATTTGACGCTAATTGAAGGGTCGTCGTACCATCCAATTTCCGGCGTCGATTCACATAGTGTTTTTGTGCTGTGACAAGCTTCAAAATTATTCGCTGAAAAACATCGGTATATTTTGACAAACGGATGGATTTTGACCCCAGTTCAAAAAGAAAATACTAGACTGAGATACATTAGAGTCCACGGCGAATCAGTTTTCACTGCAAGTTGGGAAATAAAGTAAACCAGAGTAGGGTCGATGATTTTAAGCCCTGGGGGACTTCCGTGTGAATCCTGAGTTTCGAATTGTTCATCGACTGGCCATCAAATATTTATGGCTATAACTAAATTTGACACGTTTTTTTTTTTAAGCCCAATAAATTATTCATACATGTCAAGCTCGATTCGATTTGTTTAAAACATGTGGCCGTTTTTAGCCGAAAATATTTTTTTGTGGGAACACTTTTACGGTAAGTATACGGTATAGACTGAACTCATTCTGAATCAATGATCGTGACTTATTTTTGAAAATTGAATGTCAAATTTTACCAGACCGACCGACGTGGATTTGGTATCGTTATTTTTGAAATTAATCATTAACATTTCCTTGTTTCTCTACTCTGTCAAAATGAGTTACCCATGCTTTTTTCACGTAACTGTCTCATTAAAATAATATAAAATATTACATCTAGAACAAGCACCCAAAACACGTAACAAGAGGTCCAGTTGCTTTCACGATACAAGTGTCATATAACTATGAGATTTAAAGTGTCGTTCAGAATGTTCACACTTTACTATCAAAACCACCATTTGGACCACTCACGTGCCAGTGATCAGTGTTTGGGCGAGCGGTCGGTGTTTCAATAAGCGAGCGAGCGAGCGAAAAAAAAAAACGCGATTAAAATGCGGTCGGTATCCGGTCGGACAAGACCGCGTGGTCGGAAATTAAGCGGTAGATGTAAAAGCGGAAGGTTGGGCGAAATGAGTACTGTATGCCCGGACTGTATGACCATGTTTCTCCGACCATGTAGTACGTCCATGCTCCGACGAAGTCTCGACTGACAATAATGCTGACAATGGACGTTAGATAAACACGCATTGTTTGCAACGGAAAGCTTATCACCCGTTATATCAGAATCGTCAACAACAGAGTATACAGATAAGATGTTATCATTTTAACCCTTTCGAAGATAAACATTATGCAAATATCCACGAAACGGCAGTTGTAGTCTTTTCTGCTAGCGCTTTAAAACACTAATTTAAGCAACGTTATTTCACAATTTCGATCTTTTGTAAACCTGGGATGATGTATCAAGGTCTAGGGTAACCGTTTAATCAATTTTTGAAAAATCAAGAAAAACGTGAAAATTTCCCTTCTCGCTACCTTAACAAGACAATATACACTGTTCACTGTCTTAAGTCTATTGACATATATTTAGAAAGATAAAAATTTGAATATACACACTACATCACTGACCACACCCAACATATAGACTTGCAAGGAACAGCACTCAATAAACAGAATTAATTTTTATAAACAAGTTATTGTTAATGACATAGTCCCCATTGAAATTAGGGAAATGTTATTCATGCCAAGAATAAATTAATATGAACCAACAGCATATTTAATAATTTAGAGTGAATAATTGGCTGTTTTAGTATCAACAGAAATCAGATGCATTACCGGTAAATGACTTAACATCGTAATGTATGATAGGATATGCTATTCATGCATCCTACTGAATTTCATTTGTCCAGACTCAAGTACAGGGATACAAAACGAATCATCATGGACATGTATCTCAACATGTATGTTTGTATCAAATTTGAAATCGGACAAATCCTGTCCAAGATACCACATTCTCAACAAGATGGATGCTGATCATGGAACAAAGGGACATGAACATGTATTCCTATATGTATGACGTATGTGCCAAATATGATTGAAAATTGTTCCCAAACCTTAGAGATATAGTAGCATGGTCAAAAAGCAAGATAGCCACCAGTCAGCCATCTTTGATCTGATTGTAAAACCAATTGTCATGGACAGGTAATAAAAAATGTATGCACCAATTGTGAACAAAGACTGACAAAGCATGCATAAGATACATTTTCAAATAACAAAATGGCTTACAGTCGGCCATGGATTGAATCAGTAAATACATGTGCATATGACCCTGATAAAGTACTAGGCACATGCAAAGAATGTATACAAGTCCCTGTTTCGAAATAATGGCACCTCTAGGCATGATGAAAGTTAACAAAAAATCTGATATTTCATACTTGTTAACAGATGACTGAGTAAAGGTCCAACTTTAAATTTTATATATTTGCAGATTTTTAATAGTTTTTATTACAAGTTGCAATGTTGTAACATAACTTAAGCAATTAAAGGTAATAATTAAAGTTTTGCAAAGCACATTTCATTATTCATTTCATTTAAAGGAAACATCAATCCAAACAACATAATGACCTCTAAAGTAAATGCTCCACAAATGTAGGCGAATGCAATTTACAGTATTTTTATATCACTTTTCATCAGTATTATGTAGTCAGCCATCTTGATTTTCAAGCAAAGGATTATGGGTAAAGTATGACATCATAGAATCTGATAGTTTTAAACCATAAATGCTGATGGATGTAAATATTGTAATTAAAAGTTGCATCATTTCTGTTTCGTCATTGTAAAAGTGTTGAGGAAATCAAAGGCTATGCAACTCATTTCACAATTTGAATTCCACCAAAAAAGACGTACTATCCAGTACTTGATTAAGCACCCACCCCTTAAAAATACAATTACAAGAACTGAGAACCCTGGGCATGAGTGCGGTTGATAGATGTTTCTCTTAGTGCAGGAAATACAGAATGTAAAAATAGTAGCTTATGGCTTGTTATATATAAATAAAAAACAAAACAAATTTATGAAACTACTGAAGCTGATGATTATCACTTAGTCTTTTGTTATTAGTTGCAATCGGCAGTAATAATCGCAGTAACTGCATACTGACATGTGACATCATTGGAAAATTGAGCTACATGAAAAAAATATGTGAATGCATATGAAACAAATATGTAAATTATTAAGCAAATAACACCGAATAAACGGCATGGTAAATACTATTTCAAATCAAAGTAAACACGTACTGCATGCGCGACTTGAATCAGCGATCATGTGCAGCACCTAATCGCTTAGCTTCACGTCACTACATGTCTTCGCCTCTGCCACCCCCCAAAAAGGATGCTTAATAACCAAGCTTATTACATGCAGAGAGCATGAAACTCATCCATGTAAATTATTAATCACATATCAATTCAATTTAATTAGATAGTGGTTTCACAAGATTCCTACACATGTATTTTTATTTGTATTGATCATCACATATCAAGAAAATCAAAAATCAAAAAAAAAATCAAATTAATAATTATAATAAAAATTGAGTAGACAATAATGAGATATGTATCATTCTTGAAAAGTGATGCATCACATTTTAGGGTAATTAACATAAACTACACCATGGACACAATTTGTAATTTCTCTCACTCATAAATTTTTTTTGGATACAACAAACAATAGGCAAGTATTTGTTGTGTAGTAAGTCCCAAAATTTAATCTGCGTATCATTACAAACGAGAGACCTTGTTTGAAATTTAGGGTCAATCTCTTATCTTGCATTTCTAAGGAAGCAGAATTGTGGTTAACGCAATCCCCAGTTTTTTAATCCTCGTCTGATGAAAAAAATCCAGGTTCATCTTGTCGGTATACAACTTTGGGTAGTCTGGTAACTCTAGAATTGATATCAATGGCAGTCTTTACTATTGCTTGTACACTTTCAGATGCAGGAGATATAACAGGTGTGTTACTACGACTACGGCGACTCCGCAGGTTGTAAGAAATATTTGGGTTTGAATACTAAAAAAAAAAATAAGAAAGCAAATAGATAAGTTATAGTTACATGTATTGCACTGTGACAATGTAAAGATGATAGGTGAGGAAATAGAAATCAGATTGAGATCAAGTAAAACTAATTTATATGTAACTAGTTTTTTAATTTGTGAAAATGGCTGCATGTAGGGAAAACAAGTCAAGGTAGCCCTATTTTGTATTTGATGGAATTTTTAACTTAACAAAAATATTTTTAGTGCCTTTACTATCGTTTCAGTCATTCTTTGAACAATATTGTTTATGTAAAAGTTGCTGCACTGCTGTTAGTTATTATCAACATTGCTAGTAAATTCACAGAAAGTGCTTTGAGTGTCATCATGATGAACTACATGTATGAACAGTAATCAGCCAAATACTTTCCCAACCTAAAATGTATCGTGTTCTGATGAATTTATTTATAATTTGAATAAAGCTTGATAAAATGACTAAAACGAAATTAATTTTAAATATCCATGTCAATTATTCTACATTACAATTATCCAATTACTTTTCCAACCTAAAATATATTTTTCTGATAAATTTATTTATAATTTGAATAAAGCTTCCTATAATGACTGAAACGATATTAAAATATCCATGTCAATTATTCTACATTTCAATTATCGTTTAAGCAGTGCTGTTTTATGTCCAGTACGTAATAATCATTTTGTTCTTTTCAATTAGAATAACGGATTGACATTATACAAAATAATAAAAGTTGTTACACAATGGGACCCACGTTAAATACGACATGCAGCGACAGTTATGACTTTTATTATACAAGACTGTCGCAGACAATGGCTCTCAGTAGTAATTAAACAGTCAAAATACTACTCTTTCTACCTGTGGCGTTGTCTGTCTTGATTTTGTTTTGCGTCCTTTGGGTCGTCCCTTTCTTTTGCTTCCTTTCTTTGGATCTATCGATGGTTGCTTGATAACGCCCAAACTACCTGGAAATTACACAACAATCATTACTATATAACACTGTACAAAAGCAAGTACACTTGCACTTCATCAGTTACAATTTGGCACATGTAGACAGCATACAATAGTATGCACATTTGGCTTAAAATAAATTTTAGTTGAGATGCGTTTAAGCAGACCCAATACACTGGTAGTACCACGGCTATTAGACAGTGCATTACACTTCGGGTAAATAAAGAAAGTGCTCACCAACTTGCATCTCATTTAATCATTTAATTTACACGGGAACATCAAGCAAAGCTTAATCACTAATATGTAAGTTCATGTAAGCTCATCTGTGTATGATCTGAGAGAATCAAATGTTTGATCAGATCTAGCAATACTTTAGGCAGCTTGATTGAGGAATTTTTTTTTATAAATTTCTTGTATGTCATAGTGCTGCAAATGCTACACTGAGGTCCTTTAGAATGGGTGCAAGTCTTATGAAATTTCTGGATGATTCCTACAATATTTTACCGGTACTTATGTAAAAAGAACATAATTGGACTTGTTAGGTTTTTATTTTCACTAATAAAAGAAATCTGCTAAATTGAATCAATGTGCATGTAAACTAACTATAATCCTCATTGTTTCACTGGCAAATTAATGAATATGCTCAAAGGGTGACAATCGTCGTGCCGATATGGGACTCATAGCGATGTATACATTGTTTATTTACATGAAATTCAAACACGCGCTGCGCAACGACCACCGCACTTTAAAACAGAGAAATTGAAAGGCACTATAAATAAATGGTTTTACAGTAATTCAAAATGTGTTGTTCTTTGCAGGCCTTTATTTTGAAATACCATACATGCACTTTGAGCATTCGAACACCAATGCAGCCTTTCAGCGTGAGCAATTTGCTACTCATTTAATCATGTTATCGTAAAATCTGTATTAGAAGATGCATCCCTAATAGAAGTCACTCCCATTATTTTTGAATAATTGAGAGCCAAAAATTCATCATTTCTTATATGTGTAGATTGCTCCAGTAGAAGCTGCATCCCCTCTATTGCATTGTACCATTTCAAAAGAAGATTTCTAATACAGATTTTACAGTACTTTCCCTTCTACGTTTCAGTAATGGTATCTTGTACCACTCATAGAAATTAAACATTCTTACAAACTTAACCACTCACTTGTATTTGATATCATGCTTACTGACAGGTTATTTTCCTGATCAAAATTTGAGGAAGTCTTAGTTGTATCCTGGATTGGTGTACTACTCCTGGTGAGTTTTGCAACCGATTGGTTCAGTGTTGGCGTGCTGCTTCGACTGCTATGCTGGCTGCAACCATTTACAATGGTGACAAAACTGGCATCGCTATCACTGTCAGACAGACCAGAATCACAATCCGAGAAGAAATCCGTTGGTGCTTTGTCTTTCCTTGCATCTACAACTGGAATGACAGTTTTAGGTAAATAGATTCTATTGCCATCCTAAAATGAGTTTCACATTCTAATTCACATTTCCAAAATGGGACGCTAGAATATCGCTAGTCCGACAATGTGCTTGGATATTCTCGCAGTTCCCAGTCCTGTACAAAGTTTGCAGTGTCTTTGACTTGCCAAATAATAGATGACTAACATTTTCTTGCAGGATACTTAATCAAAGACGCACATACTATAAAATACTTATTCTTGCTTGAAATAAATTTTCGCTATTTTCGGTGAAGGAATGATTCTCTGAAAATAAAATACAGCGAATATATTTCACGTTCAAACTCTTAAAAAATCATCTAAAATTAATTCCAGTTAAAATAAAGTGTATTACAGTATTAAGTATTTAAAGCACATTTTCTGGCTAAATATTTTCTTGCAGCTGATAAGAACATGTTGCTTAATAGATCCAGCAAGCAGAAATTTTTAGTTTTATAATGCAATCTAAGAATCCAGATTTTCAAAACCCCGTCATTGAAACGAGTGAATACTGCATTAGTTGTGTAACACATTTTGTATTGAAATGAACTACACTAAACTCCTTGATAACATTTCTCTGAGACTGCATTATGTATTTTTGTTATTATAGCATTATTTATATTTATCAGTGCAGGGCATGGCAAGCTGGGTTAAGAGATTGAAACTTAAAACCAAAGTTTGTTATTCCACTAAGCGATATTATCAGGAGAGACACACACTATACACAATGGTCTTCCCAGACTTTATTTAAGCATGGTGGTTGGCACGAGCATGATAGATTTTATCAATGAAACAAGGGTAGTTATTGATACTCAAATAATAAAAATTATGATAAAAACATTAGCAACCATTTATATGCAAATTGGCCACCATGGCTGAACCTATAGCTGGAGAGAACACTGCAATAGTCAAGTCTTTGGTTCCCTAGTTGCTAGGCAACCAAATTATCACACATGCATAGAGGGTTAAGTACACAATCTTGTACTTCTGGGTCATCATGACAATGCTGTTTTATGCAGATATTTCACTAACACTAGCATCAGTTTTGAACCAATGAATGTCGATTTGGTAGGTTGTCTTTGAAAATTGAAAACCTTGTTTACAAATATTAAATGGCTGGGCCTTTTTAATAGCTTAGTAAGCGCAGCAGCCAGAAAACACAAAACTATTTTACAAAAACTGTAACGACTTACCAGAAAGAAAGAAGAAATGGACAAGACATGTACAAGTCACAATCAGAGGTTTGGTAAATGAAAGAAAAGAAAAAACATATACAGGTAAAACAAATGTGCATTTCTAAACTGAAAATTGGTTACACATAAACCCTACAATATACAGTATAGTTTACCCAGGGTGCTTAGAAAAAATAGGGAGATTACAGTGTGCAAATAACATCTAACAAAGTATGGGGGTATATCACAATACTAAAATTAGAATATTATAATAACATTCAATTTCATGCATTACGGTAACAGTAGAATATAATAGAAAGAGCATGATGGTTTCATCATTTAACATTTCACTTCTTACTTCGCACAGAAGTGAGTTCAAGCTTACCAGTTGTCCATTTCTCAGTCCCAGCAAATGCTTGTACTTGAGTTATCTGTTTCATAATCTGGTGATTGTTCACTGCCGTTTGATGTACTGGTAATGCTTCAATGGATGGCAAGGGAGCATTATTTGGAAGCTGCAACGCAGGCGTGTTCTCACCTAAAAATAAATGATGAGGAAAAAAGCAATAGAATCAGAAGGAAAACTGAACCATTAAAAACACTGAGGAAGTGAAGGTTGCTTGTAATACACCAGTAGTTCAGCTTCATAGGCAAATTAAATACTGTAAAATGACTAATGTTCCCTGGGTTTAAATTTCGCTGATTTACCATTTCAGGCATATTCAGTGAGTTTTAAATTCACAGTTTTATCATTTAGATAATATGTTCTATGCTAAATTTTACATATTCACTGGGTTTTAATTTAGCGCATTTTCAAGTCAGCGAAATAAGCTAAATTAAAACCCAGTGAATAATTAACCCCTTTACAGTAAGCTACTTGTATGCGAATTTCAAATATGCAAATAGACCTTTCAAAGAATATTATGCTAATTAATGCAAATCAGATGTAAATTTTAGCATATAAGAAGACTATAGGTTTTGCAGTAGCCCTGTGCCCACTGCTTTTCAGGAGATATTTACATGCCATGGCTGAGTAATCTCTCGAACACTCTCAATTATTTCTGTTATCATAAAGAGTGGCCACAAGAGTTGAAAAACACAAAACAGCAATAGCCTATCTTTAATTTCATGTAACACAAAAATTAACCGCATTTCATAAAATTAAACTTTTGATTAAGATTTTTACAGAAAAATAATCACAGGTCATTAATGAATTGCTTTTGATTCATTCTTATAGTGCGCATCTATTTGCTCTACACCAATAATTTGTTTTTTTCACACTGACATTAATAGCACTATGAGAGTGTATGCATGGACAGTCGATGACTATATACAACTACCGGGGTATCACACAATTCACAACGCTGTAGGACCAAGCTAGACGGACGTACAACCCACACTAGTAGTGGTCAACAAAATACTTATAACTTTTTATTATTTATGAAAGATCAACATATGACAGTACTTACTAATACTGAGAAGAAAGTTTTTGAGTTCTGAATTCTGTTTCTTAATGTCTAGAAGGAGACAGTTATTGATTGCAGCAAAGTCTTTGTAACTATAGGCCATTATTAACAATATCAACAATGCAAGGAAACAAAATACTTGTCTACAGATCCACATCCTCCCATATACTGCTTCCTGGGAAACAAATAAAGCAATACAAATTTAAAAATTTGACGATTGAGTGCTTGCATTTCATATTATAATTTATAACACATCACTCGTTAATACTGTACTGTAATTGGTCAAAACAGGATCATGCGTTATCGGCCAAATTACCATAGTAGTGCCAGGGAAATTACTAATTCCCTAGGGAGACGAGTACATCAACTAGTGCCCGGGGATGACATCACTCGTCACCTGATCGTGTGATTTCCAATATGTCGTCTGCTAGTTCGGTCGCTGATATCGATGGCCCGCCTCGAAAGACTGGACGATTTAGCTTCAGCTCAGAAGAAGAACTTCACACACTAGTGGAAAATAAAGATGCACCGAAGACGAAGGACGCAATCAGGTTTTCTAGAAGCGTCTTTACATCGTTTTGTGAAGAAATCAGGACACTGCTAGCAGACATCGAGAAGAAGACATGCAGTGTGTTTACTATTAA